CAACAGTTCTATATACTTGACCATGGTCTTATTAGGTTGGACTTATAAATCGATCTGATTCTGGATCCCAGATCTACAGGAAACAGGAAAACAACAATAATATACATGGAACAGCTTGAATACTAGTAGCCTATGTGTGAGGTAGATTTTAATTCTAAACCAATAGTATCCAGCACAAAAAGAAACTTAATATCCTATTTAAAACAGGTCACTTATAAGGATCGCAAATGTGATTCGGATTGATACAAATTAAATATAATTAATTTCAATGGAATGTCTATGCATGCTTACCATTGAGAGAAATAGGTATGTTATGATCCAATTGACCTCTGACTGGCAACGTCCAAACGATAGCCAAGATGTACCGATGATCTGGTATTCTTCACCACTCTACACAAGACTGTACAACATGAGGGAAAGCTTCCAATTTTTTCCAGTAGTCAACTTTCCCTTCATGTCGAGCAATATTCCAACAGCTTCTGCCTTTGGTGTTCACAATTTCACAACTTTCAAAATACAATCGATCATGCTCATTCTGTCAGGATTTCAAAGCGTGTCATACGACATTTGCTCAGAAGTTGTTTGATCAAGTTTAAAACATTCAATGTCTCACAAAAGCTTCCAAAGAGTTTTATTTTAGACATGTGGAGAACATGTCAAAATTTGACGCATCAGTGACAAAAATGATGTCCGATGCAATTCCTCATTTGTGGCTTGTAGCGTCTGTTCCCGTGATTTATTCAATTGAACAATTGACTTGCGTTTGCATGTGTTTGTGACGGGAGCCGCCTTTTGGGCAGGGTACGCTCGTCATTTCGCGAACATCTGGATTAATTACTATTTGATAGTGATTCATAAACACATGTTTGTGATTTAATCGGAATTGTACAATCGACGTGTGAGAACGTTTTTGAATACGAGTTTTCTGATGATATTTGTAGGAAATATGTATATGATATGATGTTTAACTCGTATCTATAAAAGGGGTGATATATAAAGATTCATACATAAATGTGTGTCTCATCTTATTGTCGCCTCTGACGTTGCAGTCTAAATTATAACGCAACTGAATTCTATTGATAATGTTTGCCCATTCACCTGTTGACCACACCCCTACCTTTACACACTATATTCATATGCATTCTAAATCCTGGTCAAATCCTGTGTTATCAAACCAAGGATCAACGGTTTGAACATGGCATCTGGCAATTGTATGGTCAAGACTCGAGTGCTGTGCGGCGTTAGGCAAACAACAAACAATTTCTTTTTGTATGCAAATCGTGTGAGTGGCGGGTGCAATATATGTATTAGAATCCTGTATATATCTTACAGAGACTAGACATTTGTGCTACAGACATAAGCTTCATGTGCCAGGGAACATCTTCCATCACCTGACTGCATGTATTTTCACTACATGACAAATAATGTCCAATGGTACATTTCAAAGAGAACAGCTGGACAATATATATTTTAACACCCATGTTGATAGCAACGATGTTGGTGTAATCTCCATCGTGATTGCAGCGCACAGTTAAGAGGTGAAGTGAAAGTGTAAACATCGGGAAACCAACAAATAATACTTGTCTGCAATAGCCATGAATGCAGACAGGGGGTATTCAAATATAACTTTAATCTTTTATAAGACTTAAATGGGAAACACACTGATCATTTTTGGTGATGTGAGATGAACTGCATGTTCAACTTTAGCAATTGTACACAGTCTTGCATTGGTTTATCAAACATTCTACCATGACATTGATGAATGCTTGATTCTGATTGGTTAAAAAGAGGTTTCCTTTTTGCTACAGAAACCCCTTTCAAATATATTAAGCCTTTTCACAAAAAAAGTGCGTATGAATACATAGATAGCCTACATATCGATTCACAGAAAATGGCTGCCGATCGATCACCCCAATATATGAACTGTAAAACATATCTATATTTCCTCTAATACACGCTGGGTCTCAAATACCGGACAGGTCTCTAATACACGCTGAGTCAGGGGCTCTCGCGAAATTAATAGACGGCGTATAGTGTCAAATAGAGGAAATACGGTAGTTTGATATCGGCTGTTTGGCGCGTTCTAGGCCGCAACCCTGACTGCTTCGATGATGACATTAAAAGATTAACGAAGGCATATCTTTTGCTTACAAATGAAATGTTTATGAAACTGTTAGGGAAATGTTCTATGGTGACCAGAATCGGTACAATTTAAGCTATTTCCTCATTGAAACAACCGACAATGAAAGTAAAATATAACATTATAAAAATTGTTTGAAAAAACAACATCACATCAGCAGGGATAGTCAACGTGTTAATGTTGAAAAGCATCACACTGTGCATCAATACTGGGTTGTCTTCTGGTTTCCTGCAATTCTTTAACAGCACTGTTACTGTTAACAATTTCTTTGGCAGCCATAACTGAGAGTGCAGTGCAGATAGAATGACAACCGGGCCACGTTAGGACGGTTCTCAATTCAGGGTGGGGAGGTATAATTCAAAGATTCACACATTCAAAATTAGTGAAAGAGTGATATCTAATACATTTTGTTGAGAAAATAATAATTGTTCATTTTTTTGGTAGCTTTTTCTGAAACCCACGAACAGTTAATTTCATTATTGAAACAACCGACAATGAAAGTGAAATATAACATAATAAAATGTGTTTGAAGACATTTTATTCATGACAACATGGTGTTTACAAACCTTTTTCTGATCGATATCCATTGCCATCTCCGTCAACCACCACTGTTAGAATTTGGCAGGTGGGAATTTGAAAGTCCATCAGAAAACACTCCCTTTCGAAAGTCCACGAAAACAATGTCCCAACTGAAGTGACAGCTTATCAAACTTGATGAAATTCATTTCAGAACACGCACAATTATTGAAATTATACACGACCTACTATTTCTGGACCAGAAATGTCTAAGTTCTGTCACTTTTTGGCGTTGGATCCGTGAAATCTTGAAATTGACAGGTCACACCATGCAGATTCCTCGTTTCAAAATATCCGTCTCGTCTGCAGCCTAAACAGCAGCTGTTCAGTCATACTCAGTCACATTGGTAATCATATGGATGTACCAGCAGGCTCGATCAATCCCAGTAAATCTACAGGTAAATGTTGAACCACATCATAGATCGGGGTTGTCATCTTGCTTCTTTTAACTAGATCAAGTTAATGTAAACACATGATTGTCGATGGTGTGAGTAACCGTGATTTAGGTCAAGTTCTGCCACATCCAAGTTCGGGGTAGAGAGACATTTACTTTGATGTTATTATTGTTTACAGGGGGTAATTGCTATCTAACAAATAACTCTTAGACATATTAAGTGTATATTAGAATGTTAATTCATAAAGTTTGCTGTAGAAATATATTCGTTTTGCATTTTAAAACCTTTTTTCTATAACCCGTCACCCCTACAATAGAAATGATGGCATGTTCGATTTCCTAGAAATGACCTCTCTCACAAATTTCCGAGAAACGACAGCCAAGTCCACAGTGTTCAACAGTGTGCAACAGTTTGATAGAACTTAAAACATCTCTCTTTGGATTAAGTTAGGAGTGTTATTTGTCAACTTCGTTTGAAAAACTATGTGTTTTGAATACTTATTATGAACTACTCACGACGGTGTTTTTTTAATTTTAAACTTTAGTAATATTTGTCACATATATAACTACCTGTGACCACTTTTCGGAATGTTCTAAGATTGCGGACCTGTGCACCTGTGTGATTACGCGTTGCAAGAGAGCACCATGTTCAAAGCGTTGTTGCCGTCATGGTAGTATATCATCATCCTGTATATATATTTTAATTAGATGGATTAAATATCAATTTTAGATCAGATAAAACACCAAAATGTTTGGCCTTAAAATAAGAAGATAAAAAACATCCTTGAACTCAAAGAACAGTGAATTATCCTGACACGACAACCTGTTCAGGACGAGCAGGATTTTTATGCGTTTGTACATTATTATGAGTTATATAAATTATGATTTATATGACATCGAATAAGCTATGTTCTATGCACCAGGAGGAAAGTTAATCACCACTTACATGTACAGTTTGTATGTATCGTTAAACTACAGTATGATGTAACAGTGATTATACCACTGACGTACCTGTACTGTTCAAAGTTGTGTTTAATTCAAATCCTCGTCAAACTCTGTAGTTGCCAAACCGATGATCAACTGTATTGAATCCACTAACACTTGATTGTTTGGTCAAGAATCGTTTGTTTACTCGATGCTTCAAAAATTGTGAATTATTTATCAATATATATCACCTAATTATACATGTTAATTTCATGAATATTATTGAATTGTCTCCAATATGGGTAATTGTATAGGGGTTATTCGTACAATGAACATTGTTATATTTTCAGATTTAACAACCAGCAACACAAGCGACATGCCGCTCCTCTGGCAAAACTGCAGGGGGGACAGATACCCTGTTGATGATAGCATGGACCAGCGGATACAAATTGAAACTAGGGGGGCGCCCCAAGCTCAGAACACTGTTTCAATAGATCCTGTCGGATATTCTTCTGGGCCCAGAGAGCGTATAAATAGAAGCGGCAAAATTCACTCCATAGTACTAAGAACTATCTGCTGAAAGCACAGTCGACTGTACTTTAAAAAAAACTAATAAAATCAGTGACCAAAATGAAACCGATGGAAGTCCCTCTGACCTTTGTCATATGTTCCCGTGCGTTTTCAGGAGATCATTTGACTTTGTATGTTTGAGACGGGTGCCACTAGTGGGGCAGGATACGCACACATTTCCGCTTTCATTATATTTCTTATAAATATGGAAATGGTTGAGTCAAGTTTATTCAATATCCTAAATATATATTTGGAACAAAAAGAGCAACACACTTGTGTTTACACATTTTGTCTACAATGGTGCACCGGGCGAGAAACGTGACTTGCAGTTATCAAAACCACAGTGAATAGAGGTAGTTTTGGTGATAGAGCAGTTTCATAAAGGAACAGTGATGTAATCGATGAAGTTATCTCCCTTGCGGTACACGCGTAAAATGTCTCTGTTCAATATTACTGCACCAGTGCATGGAAAAGGATGTTGAAGGGTGAACACACTGTGGCGGTTGTCTCGAACGTGTTTCTTTGTTACCCATGACTGTATTGGATATCATCATCAGGCCTTTACAGCCATGAAGGTGGGTATATTGAATGTTATAGGTGTCTGTATGGGAAAGGTATGTTAACTGCGAATGAAACGTGGAAGGCAATGTTAATACGAGAGAATACGTGCACTTTGATGAAATGATTCATGATGAATGAATAATAAATTCCATATTTATTTATACAATGTATGCCACTAGAAATAGACGATTTGACATTTTTGGACATTGCTCATATGTAGGTAGATATGCACATTCATCAATAGGTAAGCGACTCTACACTCGTTAGGAGTTGGCAGCCCTGGCCGACATTCAGTAGCCAGTGTCTAAGTGTGGCTGAACAGTATTCCAGTTACATCACGGCATGTCAGCTTAAAGTGGGAGGAAAATACGAAGTCATGCAGGTCTCACACGTTTACCACATTCAGGAAACCAACGAGAATGACAATGATTCTGACAAATCTAAACAAATAGTCAGGGCGAACCGGAATTCGAACCCACGGTCATAGGTTTCTAGTGAACTCAAGGGACGCAATTCTGCACCGATAATTCCCTTTGACGACGGGGCCACAAGAGGTCTAAAATATATGCAAACCATAAATAAAAGGTCTCCAACGTACATAATTATACTGAACAACAAAAGTTGTGACATTGAATACGATTTTATGCAAAGTTATGTTTTTTTTACCAAACCAGATACAATTTCGGTTTGCAACAGATAAATAAATCTGTAAGTGTTCAGATGGTTAATTTTCCACAATGACTTCAGAAAATGCGTGATTTCATAAAAAAAAAAACATGAACATGCCAAAATGTCAATTTACAAATCAAAAGCGTGTTTGCCCACCTCTGGCTGCGATGCATGCAACACATCTTCGTCTCATGGAATGGACCAGACGTCGCAAAGTCCTGTGGTATATCTGTCCATATCTGCTGGAGCATGTTTCGAAGATCCTGGAGTGTCTGTGGAACACGTGGTTGACGTTGAAGGCGCTGATCCATCTCATCCCACATGTGCTCGTTTGGTGAGAGATCAGTGGAGGAAGCCGGCCAGGGGATGACATTGACGTTGTTTTGATGAAGAGAATCATGAACAAATCGAGCAATATGAGGCCGGCTGAAAGGTAATGTCTGGGCCATGACGACGCAAAAACGGTAGAACAACAGGGCCAATGTAGCGCTGTCCATTGAGATTTTCCTCTACCACTATCAAACGGGTCCTCTGTCTTGCTGTAATCGCACCCCACACCATAACGCTACCGAACCTGAACCGATCTTCTTTCATGACACAATGATTGACGTAACATTCACCTCGACGTCGGTACACTCGAATCCGAATCCGTCCATCGCTGTGGCTGAGGTGATAACGAGACTCGTAAGTGAATAGAACTTGTCCCCACTGCATAGCCGTCCAGCGTAGACGCTGTAGACGTGCTTGACGGTGGTTTCCTTTCAAAATGTGACGTCTGGCGGGTCTTCTGGCGACAATCCCTGCACATCTGAGTCGGCGACGTACGGTTTGTGAAGATAGTTGTCGAAGGCCAGGGATGCTTCTTGCAGTCACTGTTTCTGGCTGGAATCGATTTTGCAGATGTGTTGTTCGAATCCAGTTGTGTTGTCGATTATTGGTTACGCGTGGCCTGTCACTCGGAGAATAGTCTCTGACTGCATTCGTCTGTTGCCAACGTTGCCATGAACACCAAATGGTGTTTCTCGTTGACTCGATCCTGCTTAATGGCGTAATTTTGTTGTTTTTCTGGGTGGTTGTTGTCAGCACGATGCTAGACAATGCATATGGAGTCCCGTTAACGCACTTGTTTGTATACCCATTCTTGGGTAGTGAAATGCATGGGTCTCGCATAAAAGTCATCTTTTGCATGGAATGCGTGGTTTACTGTAGCAGTTGCGTTTTTGTGACTTGATTCCATACATGTTCTACAATATTGAAAACCAAACTTTACTTATTTGAAAAATACGCTAACATATTAGTGTCACAGGAACTTTTGTTGTTGAGTATATTTAAATTTATCAACATAAAATTGAAAAGAGCATTTACAACTATGTGTGCTCATTAGCGTACATACACAGAAGCAACACATGTTATTATATATACAGTGTTATAAACATAATCGTTATATGCATCAATGTGGCAAAATATAGATCTTGAGTATGTAAACGGACATCAATTTACAACATGCCTCGAGTACTTGAAATATGACATGTAAGTCAATAATGTTATGTTGTCTCTACACATTATTGCACGGGGTAAGCTCTAATCATGATGTTAAATGGATAAACGATTTGAATGGATATGGTTTCATGACATTGGATCTCTCACTTTTTCCATTCCTTTAACATAAGCAAGTATGTTTGGCTGAAGACCAACTGACACAAAGTATGACAAATGGTGCAAGACCCATCTACAAAAAAAGGTGAAAATTGTATTCAAGAAATCTGTCAGATTACCCCCATCAAACCTGTCCACATTCTGTACGCAGATTGACGCAGATGCCAGGCAATCAAAAACCCTGCACTTAAATACCGTTCATAGTGCTACTGCACGTGCAGTATGTGCAACTCCATAGCCCTTCTCTTAATGCACTGGGTGCGTTTTTCCGAATCGTACGTATTTCCCGACTAATGGTTTGCATTTCATTGTTATTAAATTTTTCACTGACACTACCAAATTAAACCTCTTCATTTTGCACCTCTTGGTCTGTAATTGTGATTTTATGGTCAAAAATGTTTGTTTTGCGTTTCTTTTTAAGTGTATATGTCACAATGCTTTATTGAAGTTGTAACTCGTTGTTTTGCAGGCGAAGCTGATATTTAACATCTACATTCTATTCATCGCATGGTTAATGCATCTATCAGACTGTAAGTTATGAAATCGTAAAACAAATTGTTCATTAGACACTAAATATTAGACTTGTGTGCAGCCTATTATCAACACTCGATAATGACTGATGTTTGACAATTAATATTTGTAATTTATATATCTGTTGTGAAAGAAAATAGGTATGTTAGTTTGATTAACTTATGTGCTATGACTGTGAACCTTAAACCTACATTGTATCCTGGGATAGTATGAGATTTCTGATATTTCTCTCTGTTCTCTACAGGCACAGTTCGGCTCCTCTGTCCTGACATCTCCTACCTTGGTGTTGCTGCACAGTTGACCTGCTTGTCTTCCGAACCCTTTACCAATCATATCTATGCAGGACCTGAGAACCTGAAGGCCCCAACATGCGAAGCATCATTGTCTGGCTGCACAACTGTGAAAGGGTTCAATGCAAGCATCATCAACGCAACTCACACTGATCTGAGGATAGTGAATGTAGAACAACCGCATGCAGGCACATGGACATGTGAAGATGGCGCAACGAGGGAAAGTGCTTCTTGTAATCTTCAGGTCGCAAGTAGGTAGACCATCTATGGATTCTGGATAATGCCCTAATATTCACTGATTGATAACATGATCCCCATATTGAGATTTTATGTTATATTAATACTCATTGCCTGATCACTTTCCTTCTAGGCGTGAGAATAAGGGAAATATTTAATTTAAACCTAATGCTGCTCTATACCCTTCTCAATATAGCTGTTAAAATATAAAAGAAAAACTCTGGAATCTGTTTCGTCGGATAATCGTCGGAAAACTACATTTCTTTCAATTTGAAGCTTTGAATGAAAGACCTCACCCAATTTCAGTATATCTTTAGTGGTTTCATAGACATGTGTGTGAATATAAAATGATTTTACTTACACCGTGGTATTCCCAATCATTTTTAAGCTTAATATAATCTCGCCCAAAACTTGATAACAATAAAGTCAACACAGATTTGGCTACTTTCATCAAGAGGCACTGATGACAACCAGTGTTGCGGTTATTACTAAAGGATCAAAACCGACTTGGAGGTCTTGACGGGAAATGTAAGCCCTGGGAGAAGGGAAATTACATATCCCGTCAAGACCAAAAAGGAGGTTTTGATCTGACCTATGAACCGTCAAATTAACTTAGAACCGTGATAATGAATATCAATGATTCTCAAATGACTGGTGTATCTCGCTTTCATGAACGCTGTTTACGCGGCGGTAATCAATCGGACAAACGCAACGCGTGTGCATTTGCTGCACGAGCAGGTTATATCTCGGTCAAGTACACGTGGTTTCATTCACTTGTGTTGGAGAAATGGCCGTGGAAGGGGAAGACCTTTTTATTACACAGTCCACATTTATCAATTAAATTTTCGAAAGTAATGCTTGTGATGTCGATTAGGATGATGTAGACGATTTTGCGTTTCGCTTTGGAGAGCCATTGCGTGAGCGGGAGATAGAAGAAAAATGTGCCATACAACAAGATTATACCGCGGTGAAGTCGACGAGCAAATGATCTGCGAAGTAACTGGTAGGTATACATTTTAAAAAATAAATATTAGTAAAAAACAAATTTCTCGGACATTTTTCGGAGAAATCAGTCTAGATGGTATTTTATTATTTGGGATACTTGAAATTGCACGAAATGATCATTGCAACATTGCAGAAAGCCATAAAATCAATTTGTTTTATCAACTGTTCGTAAGGTATCACAATGGTGATGCAGACTTTTCACCTGCTATAAATCGGGTGACCCTGATGACTGAAAATTTGCTGAAAACCGTTAAAATAAATCTCATAACCGCGATATGACAACAAAATGTTGTATGTTTTGAAATGTTCATAGTATTTTCGAAAAACCTCTTATCTATATACTCTAGCAAGCGGGTAGATGAATATGTGTTATATCACTGTTTGAACATATGGTTCAGGGCATAGAAGTGATGCAGTACGTACGTATAAACGTACTTCATACGAGCAAAGGAAGACCCTGTCGGACATCATTGCCAAAAAGAGGAAGCAGGATGTTAGCTCTGAGCCGACGGCGATTGTAACTGAAACGTCTAAGCCCGAGACTTCCCCCGAAAAAGATGAAATGGACATTGGTCGTCGTTTTGTTCTCAATTTCACTTTTCATTAAACCTACTTCATAAGTGTTGCTTTCATTAATTTGCACTTTGAGGCATTTGGGAAACGAGGTTTGTCCCTAGGCCCATCTGCACAACGCGATTTTAGTGCTAAAACTATTTTAAACTACTTAACTTGGGGAACTCAAACATTAGCACTAAAATCGCTTTGCGCTTCTGAAGCCAGATCTTGCCAGCGGAATGCCCAGGTCTTACCGGGAATTCTGCCGGTAAGACTTGTCGGAACGATAGCGGAGTTTACCTCCGCAAAGAAGAGACTGTCTGAACAATGGAGTGACGTCATCAAAGGTTTATAAATGTCATTCACAATCGTCAAAAGTAAACATATATAGCTAATACGTTAAATTAGCTATTATTGCTATCACTATATTGTCATCTTACCACCTCCGTGGTATAGTGTACAGATATTATCCTGGAAGAACGAGAGATCCCCTGGCGGTGTCACACCAAAAGACGTTGGAAAATGCTTCTTGTTGTTACTCTGCCTGGTGCTCGGCATTAAGGCATAAAACAAGGAAAAGCCGGCTCAGGGTCAATGTACTGTATCTGAGCGAAGTATCCATGTTAAAATGCGACGCGATGTATCACTGGGCTAGCACTTTATAACGTGCATGATATGTAGCTACAAACTCACGTGCATGCACGTATAAATAAAGTAATGTTGAATGTTACTTTACACCCCATTTCACCTCAACTCATTGTGACCTTTGCTCATGAAATGGGCTAAAAAATCAAAAGCGTTCAGAACTGGCTGTTATGTCCGTAAGTGTACTGTTTTTGTTTTTTCCCGAACAGTTATCTCTTGTGTTGATAATTTGAAGGAGGACACCCTCAAATACCTAATACTCAGCATGTAGATATGTAGACCGTATATGTATTGCATTGTCCTGTATAAAGAGACGAAGGGGGTGTGGTATTGCTTAAAGGTTAAAGCGTTCGCTCGTCAAGCCGAAGGCCCGGGTTCGATTCCCCATATGGGTACAATGTGTGAAGAACAATTATGGTGTCCCCCGCCTTGAAATTGCTGGAACATAGTAAAAGCATACTCACTATAATAGTGTTAACGTTTAATGAAGATTTTGTGTCGTGTATCTGCCGGAAACCCATTGTTCCTCTGTCATGGCTTCACACTGTTAAATGACACATCACAACAGACAAAAACGGTGCATGCCAAGAAGTGTTCCTTGTGTAAATACATGTATTTAGGGGAGGGTAGTGGATGAAAGGGAGGGTGTAACTAAAATATTAATATGTTGTAAAAGAGTCTCACAGTTTCCAATTCTTAGGCATAGTATACGCTTATGTATACACATACCGTTTTCCTATTCTGTCATTTACCCGGAGAGGGATGAAGACGTTGCGCTGAAATGTAATTTTTGTATACAATATCGAATACAAAGTTGTTATCCATAATATTCCAAGTCATAGATTCACATAATACCAACCGATACAATATAACTCCACAGTTGTAGTGTGTTATATTACGTGATTAAATTATGCTATTCAATGGACATATATTTGATATGAGTGGATTCATCTTGAACGCTACGCTAAAACTCATTTCAACTCATTTGATTAATATCGTTCAACAGTGATGTGATGATATTACTGAATCCAAATACCCATCCACATGTGTGACAATACGCCCATGCAAAGTTATGAATTAAGTAGGTGCAAAGTATACTGGTAAGTATAACTGCATAGTTTAACTGTTAACTGACGGGGGACAGGAAACACTTTCACGAGGGGCGAATACCTCCCTTCCCCCGTCACGAGAATAGCAAAACCTAATATTTCACGAGACACATGTTCTAACCTATTTATTATATACTTTTTTGTGTAGTTTTCTGCCGGTACCTTGTAATTGCGTCTTTGAAAGTAGTTCCGAGTTTGCAAAATCGTAACAATCATAAACAAAAGTCACCAAATATATTTACGGTCACGAAAAGTCTTTGTCATATAAAAGCAACTCGAAAAAGATATTCTTGAAAGCTACGAGACCGCTTTTGGAAGAGAAGGAATACATGCTCGTCAAGTAACCAAAATGGTGTTTTTCGAAACGAATAGTTTCGATTAACGAGTTAAATGAGAAATTTACAGTTTATGACGACATAATTTCGAGAGAAAAAACAAGCGATATTTACTCCAGAAATGACTATTTGCTTAGTCAATGTGGAACTAACGATAAAGGACGTCAACAGTTTGTGTTAGGGCCAGACACTTACGATAAAGCGAGACGATTTGAGCTGAGGTAACTCTTGTATGAAACAAAATCCGTCAAAGTGTCATGTTCACTGCAGTGAAAAATCAATCGGGAAGTTCACTGAAATGAAAATATCACTTTTCTCAACTTTACAAATCTCAGTCTTTCACACTGAAATATATAATAATGCCTGACAGTACCATTTTAAGTATGGCCAGGGGTAATGTGACATACAACAGCTGAGTACCAAAGCGATTTCCAGCACTATAACCGCAACTACTGAGAAGATCTTAATGAGGTCAGGCTAGTCACCTTAATCAAAGTCACGTCATAGTGTTTCACTGTTATGGTCATTATCAGGGTGAATCTTGGATTCGAATCCGTGACGAAGCTCATCTTGGCAGGTACGGGAGGGATGTTTTGAATAACATTGTCATGTTAGCACATAGCCTTCAGTAAAGTTTGCCCTGTTAGCAGATGTCCTACCCCATGTGAACAAAGGAACGTGTTTAATATGTAACGTCCAGGCTTCATGTAATACAGTACTAACACGGCACTAGTCCAGGACAAGCCTGTAAATAATTGTCTTTTTCCACAGTGTGTTACTCTTATGTGTGTCTGTTTTCCAGTTCTTGTTGCCATTTCCTATAAATGCATTAATATATAAGTTTCCGTTAAGATCACACTTCCACAGCCATGGTATTTATAGAACTTACACTCGCCTGAATGGTTTCTGCGCGGAATAAAAGGAGAACAAAGGAGTACCGCTCATCAATGTCATTACCGTATTTATGTATGCTTGGTTATAATATTCAAATTGTTTAAAGGTAAATATTCATACCAATGTTCACTCAAGGTGAAGAAGTTCAATTTTGTATCTAACACTGTTGAACACAGATTGAAAATACTGATGTCTTTGAGGAAATTTCACATGATTATTTGCCATTGCGTAATCAAAACGAATGGGGAATTGGTGAAAGTAACTTTACCAGGAGAGAAGCATGCAGCACGTGCAGTTCATCTTGCAAAACTTGGCTATAAATTGCGTTCGGCAACAATACAACAGTCAGTTCAAATCATCATGGGTCGTGTTCAAAATTAAATCCAAGAAATGTGTAATCAAGCTACCACATTGCTGCAGGATGGCAGATCAGAAATGCGATATGTAGCCCTTTGGGTATTCCAAAAGGTTGTATCTAGCCTTTGGAATGGTTTCCAACAGACACATTCCGTGAGTGATCGTCCTCGATCAGTTCTCCCCAAAACCTCCACAAGACAGGATGACCAGTAGCTGCATGCTAACAACCACGGAACAGATACCCCACAGACATTCCATTATCTGCCAGCTGACATCAGACAACAGTATCGACAGGTCTAGGCTATAGTGGGCAAGACACAATCTGTAATAATCTGTAGTAATCATAGGTTGTCAAAAGTACTCTTTTCGGATGAGTCTGTTTCAATTTGCTGTATAAAGATGTCCAGATACCTGTTTATCGACGCACAGGTGAACGTTACGTGGACGCTGCAATGGTAGAGCACAATCGGTTAGGCAGTGCGTTCTTCATGGTCTGGGTTGTCATGAGCATGAATGCTAAGATGGACCTCTTCATGTGCAAGGCACCATGACGGGCCGGAAATACAGACACAACATCATTATGCCACTTTTGTTACCATTTCTTTGAGGTCGACCAGTGTTGATGTTTATATACATATTGATGCTTAGTAGAAGTCATCCGTGTGGATTCCGTGAAAGAATATAGGTTCCCAGCAGCTTAAGCCTGTAAATGGCGAATAGATGGATCGGGTGGTCAGGCTCTTTGACTTGGTTAATCGCATCTCAGCGTATTCCAATTGCATGGTTCATGCTCATGATTTCAATCACTGGACTGCCTGGTCCAGACACGATGATTTACTGACTACCGATATATAGCTAGAATATTGCTGAGTGCCGCCTTAAAACACAAACAAAAGATCTTAGAATAGGTATTTGCTTTGAAAATGATTTAATAATGCATCGTATGCCCAAATCATACACACACACACCAAGGCGATAATTCAGCAATGTCGACCTTAAACCTCTGATAATCTCCATATATCAATAGCCATGTTTCATTATATAATATGTTTTGAAGATATGTCAATGGAATATTTGAACCTTCTTCGATATATTCAAATGATGTTACCATTTTAAGGTGGTATGTAATGTTTCAGAGACACCAACATGCAGCATCACCAGCGAGGAGGACACTGATGAACTTGCCCAGTATCAGGCGCTGACACTCACAGTGGTCATACAAGACTACTACTGTTCCGCAGCCCTCACCTTCTCACTCCAGACCGGGATTGTGACAACACTGCTGGTGGAAGCTGACTCTGTAGCAAGTGTTACTCACAACACTTCTTCAGTAACCTTGAATGTGACGGCCTCCCACCTGGGTATTGTAGGACTGATATTTAGCTGTCACAATTATGAGTGGAATCTAACTTGTGAAGGCGTGACTAAACTCGGTAAGTTTTACATTCTTTCAAAGAAGCACATAACCTAATTACAAGGCTTGAGTGAGTGAAGCTAAACAGGGCAAAGAATGCCTTAACACAGTGAAATCGATAACAAATACGTCAGCATCGCAGGGCATTCATGATATATATTGACAAATCTGAAGGCTTGAGTGGATAACACTAAACGCCAGGATTTCCATGTACATATATTTAATTGCACGAATAGCATAGCATTCATCATCTATAGTGTGTTGTTGACACTTGAAATCAGTGTATTCCCACGCACGCATTTCTCAAAAGGCCGTTATGGTCATTCTTTCCACACAAAAATGATGTGATAGATTCTACATAATCCACAGTCTATAATACAATCATCGTTTCTATATGTACCCCTTTCGCCTAACAGTTCCAAAGACCCCGACATGCAACATCACCAGTGACAAGGACACTGATACGCTGACCCTGTATAAGGAAGTGACACTTGCAGTGGACATTGCTGCCTTCTACGACTTACGAGGCTCCTACTGTTCTGTGGATTCCAACTTCACTCTTCAGACCGGGGATGTCACACAATTCCTGATTGTTGCTGGAACCGGGGCTGACAATGATCTTTCACCAAAAACCTTCAATGTGACTGAAACACACTTGGGTGGTGTAAGGCTGATATTCAACTGTCAACACGAACACTGGATTCTCATCTGTGAGGGAGTAGGGGAACTCAATAACAGTGGGTTTCTAGTAATTCTTGAGTGGCTACTACTAACACCTCATGAATATATATGTTGTGTAAATGGCTATCCTCCCTACCAAGAAATAATGATTAAAGGTCGGAATACCCATGGACTGCCAACGAATATGCCAAATGGTTTGTCTGAAGTGGTATACATCTTCAAATGTCCTTTGAAATATTGGATAAAATATGCATTCATATTTAGAGGTATTTATTTGTTTGTTGGTCGGTTGTCTAGAAGACAGTATCCCAGTCTCCACTGAAGACACAGTGTGTGTTAATAAGTTGTGTGTAGGGGATGTGATTTCATGATTTCAATCCATGTCAAAATATCATTAGTTATATGACAGGGAAATATCATTAAAACACGAAGGGTACATTGTTTACATCAGTATATTGTCAATGTCTACTTTGGTGTTCCGGTAAACACTACTGCTGTGCGTGTTCTCGCATATTGTGCATGTATTAGTCGTGTATAACTATAGAAATGACAGTTCAATCCCCACACAACACGCAACCTGCATGAGGTGGACGCGTGCCCCAAATCCTGCATATGCGGCGGTGTGTAAATGGCTATCGTATTTGTTTAGAAATAATTATTAAAGTCCGAGAACGCATGGAATGACACACACTCTACCCACTGGTTTGTCTGAAATGGTAAACGTCTTCCAATGTTCCTGACTGAAATACTGGATAAACTATACATGCATATTTAGTGGTATTTATTTGGTTGTTGGTCGGTTGTCCAGTAGACAGCACCCCAGTGTCTCCCCAGAGCACACAGTGTTTGTTAATAACTTTTACCTAAGGTATGTGTTTATGTTTGCTTGTTTATTGTTTAACGCCGCACCAAGCAGCATTCCAGTTATATCGCGACAGTCTGTAAATAATTGTACATGGACCCAACAGTTAAGTGATTCACAACATCCATCTACACAACTGGAAAAAAGATGGCATGTACCAACCAAGTCAGCGAGCCTGACCAGTGGCCTCTCACCAAAAGATAACAAAAGAATAATGCGAAACCAGACTTCACTGGGGCATTTTGATTTCTATCTATGTCAAAATATCACTGTCTATACGACAGAGATATATCATTCAAAACACGAAGGGTACATTGTTTACATCAGTATATTGTCAGTGTATGCTTTGGTGTTCCGGTAAACACTACTGATGTGCGTGAACACGTATATTGTGTATAAATCCGTCGTATATAAGTATTATTGAAAAGACAGTTCAATTCCCCAAAACACGCAACCTGCATAAGGTGGACGCATGCCCCAATTCCTGCATTTGGCGGCGGCGGCTGGGTCGCCGTGATATATACCCCGTACACAAGACATATTCTCGTAGTGTAGAAAGCGATTAAGGGTATTGTAATCTGACGTTTAACAGTCGCCAACTCGTGAGATTTTCATTCTCAATGTTAACATGCTGTTACAGTCATTATTCAAGGCGATAAAATGCCCATGCAGTTTGGCTTTGTGTCTGTTTATAACAAATGCAACTCCTGTATTGTTATTTAAGGAGGTGTATCCAACTATGCCTTTATAACATTGCAGAAACCAAATCAGCTGCTATCCCCAAAAGAGAAGGACTAGCCCTAGCCGCCATTCCAATTATTGCTGCCTGCGTTGTTGGTGCGATAGTGTTTCTCTTCATCGCCGTCATCATCATCGTGTTTCTCATCAAAAGTAAACAGGTAACTCGAATAAAACCACAGTCATCACTTAAGCCTTCTTCCCCTCCGTACATTACTGTAAGAAACCCGGAAGTTCAACTTATGCTGCCGTGGAGCTGATTGATGCTCCAAGTGGATCAAAGAACATAACTGTAATAGATGCAGGAGGTTATGCATGTTCATGTGATGTCGTCAGCAATGCTTAAAACAGATCAAGTTCGCGAACGGAGGATGAGTCACACAACTTATCGTTAGCGGCAACATCCACAGACAATCCTAAGAATGACCTCGGTGTAGTCGTACAGCACATTATTCCCGAAGATTATACAAGTCAAATTAATGAGCTATATGCCTCTATTAACAAAACGAAGGACATGACAGTGCATAATCATCCGACAGAAATCTGACAAGTTGTTATATATTGGCGAATATTTGAATAACCTTATCAAATTTTCTGCTGTTTTCTGAAGTTTTTGTTTCAAGTTTCGTGCGTATTTAAACTGATTTTCCGTTAAAATTTGCGGAACCACCTCAAGAGACCATTCATTTTCTAGTTAACAAGTCAGTCATGGAACAACTTGCGTCTGATCTTACACACGCAGTTACCAGACTGAATGCATAGGCATTATCTAGGGTTCGAATGTATCACCTTCTCAGGCATGCATTGTGATTTCTTGAAGAAATTTAACAAAGCATCAATCTGAAGTCTGTGAACTTATCCGAAAAAAGATTATGGCTTACTGATCAAGGTATGTCTTTAATAAGTTACAATCATGACCTGGGTATGCTATTCGTGACATATATCCTTCGTTTCTGATCATTGCGATATAAGTTAAACTGTGTCATTTATTCTGAAATAAGTAGTTAACCTGTGAATACTGTACCATTATCCGTTTATAGACCGAACCGCAAAAGAAACGTCACCCCGAATAACATTGAATGAAAAGTTGTCATATATATGGATAACTTATTTATATAAGTTTCTAATGTTTATCATAACCTTGTCCGGAAAAATGAAGTCTGAGCATAAAAAAACAAAGCAGATAAGAATAAAACCGCTCACCCAAACGCATCACGTCAACCATGGTAACCATGGCCATGGCAACCTGATGCACGTTGGTTCCATGCAAATTGAAATGCACATGCGTTCCCCCATTTCTTGCCCTATAAAAATCCATCCAGATCGGATAACACTCATTCGTTATTTAATTGCCACCACATGCCAAGTTTGACAAGAAATCAGCGAGCCGTTGTACAGAGTTGCGTCCCTTGACACGCCAGAAACCAATGGTTATGGGTTCTAATCTCGGTTCGCCCGAGTTATTTTTCTAGGTTTGCCAGCACACAAACAGTGCTCGTGGCTTTCACCGAAGTAGTAAACGTCTAAGACCTGTACCACTTCGGGCTTTCCTCCCACATTAAGCTAACACGCCGTGACGTAAAAAAAGGGGTTTAGCCAAACTGTCTCACTCGCTAATCTATATCGTGCATGGACTATTTTTTTGGTTTTGTTTTGCAACAAGGTGAAAGGATCAGCAAACACACATACATATGAAATCGATGATGTAACTGTGAACGGAAAACGGAGGGTGGCAGCCGGATATCCCTCTTCTGACGACACTGTACACCAGGCTGGGGACAAGCTTGTAGTCGGCTCGGGAGGATCTGCTTCTGGTAATGATCAACAAGAACCCGGATTGCGTATTAATCCTGTGTACATCCCTACTACTGTAAGAGACAGAATAGTCACAACAGGGACATCCACAGAGACAGGTGCGATGGGTAGGTTGACGCCTTTACATGCCACAAGTTTCACATTCCAATTTTATAAAGGTTTATCATACTAACAATGCCAATACTGCCTGTGGGCCTTATGATGCTGAAAATATAAACTTAGACGCAAAATCTTCTACTGCGAATATCAAGTTGATTAACCTAGTTGTAACCTTAGCGATTTCAGGCAAAAAAAGATCGTTTTGTCTGGCGTCGGCGTGTCACTTTAAAATCAGACATGTATATTGTCAAACCCCCCAAAACAACATTCCCTGTTATATGTACATGTATGCGTTGTTATTCATGTTATACAATGCTCGACATATAACATTGTAGTAATGGGCCGAGTACAAAGAGTGCCCAGTTGCCTTTGTTGCTATTTTATAACTCGAGTGACGTCATCCTATTTTCTTTACGGCCCGTCATATTTCTATTAATCTCAAAAGTAGATGAAATCATTGAAATCCCCAGCGTTCCATTATAATGTCTGGTCTTGTCATCAGAATACAAGGACATTCTGTTGGAGCGTGGGCATTCTGTAGGAATGAAGGATTTCACGGATTCTGTCTGCCTTTGAATCTCTCACGAAAGTATTGTTACGTCAGCAGAGATCAATAAAACATATGTTTTAAAAGTAACTAGCGTTGATATTAATTTGACTCGTTAAAAGTCACGATTTGTTTCACTTCAAAATGATATTACTTCAATCGAACCTGCAACTTCACATGTCTTGTTTCGTATTGTAGCCCACTGTATGGGTGGTGGAAGTACGTTCAATCTTACATGTCACTGCCTTCAGTTGCTGGCTTGCTGCACATGGTCTTTCTCTTGCCCGCTGTCATCGAAGTCGTTTTATACCACAACTACACTATTGTTTTACTATAAGTGTCTCGAATATTTCTTATTCTTTCTCGTATTTATTGCCTTTTTTTAACCCTAAAACTAACAGTTTTAGTAAATACGTTTATGGCAAACATGGAGGTCAAAAGTGATATGAGTGCATTATCGATTTGCAATTTGTATCCATCGTGGATCAAAGTATGAGTTTCTCTTTTCATTTACATCAATTTATTGAAAATGTTTTGTTGTTTTTAAATTCTATTGCACATGTGATATGATTTGTTTGTATATTTTTGTTGACTATTTAACGCCACACATAGCAATAGTCCAGCTATGTCACGTCTATGAATAGTCGAGTGTGGAGCAGACAATCCATTGAATGACATCATAGGCAACCCAACTGACATACAATCACGTAACGGAGCCTGACCAGGCCTCTTACAACAAGCATATACATATACGACGTTCGGGCCCAGTTCTAACCCAGACTCCCCATGAGTGACACTAACATGAAACTGTTAATCTACCATTTGTTTGGAATCTACATTATTTTACAATAATATATTTCAAAAACAGAATATACTCGTTATCATGTCTTGGTCATTCTATATTCTAATTCCAATGAATCAATCAAAATCAAACGTTGTCCCAATGTATGATAAGAGGCCTTGTTGACATCTGTTTCAGATGGTGATTACCTACATCCTGAGGCGATGGGAAACTATCTTGCTCTTGATAGATATGCTGTCCAGCCTACGAACATTTATGAACATCTGAGAGTATATGAACAAATTGCCAACATGTGAAATGATGACATTCTGCAACGAAACGGGTGTCTACTTTGTCTCACCTTGTACAAATTGTATGAAATACATGCCCAAAATTGCAAAAGATCACACGATTATAACCATTACATGAGTTTCATATTATAATTTATAACTAATATTCAACATAATTTGTCACAAAGGACAAAGTGTTGTTTATTAATCTGACCTCCATGTAAGAATGATGAGATCTGATTGGTTCACGTGACCTTGATAAACTACTATGTATCCTGTCTGGGAGTGAAATAAATTGCTGAGTGGGTGAATATATCCCTTGTCCCTTATACCCCGCCACGAACCAACCAGGCTGCACGTTGATTTATGAGAGGGAGAATAAAACCCTTATACACTGCTACGAAGCAAAAAGCTGCACGTGTTTTAGGAGTCAATGCAAGTTACATAACACAACACAAGTTAACCTCAGCTCAATTGCACGGATGTTTTCTATCAATTTTTAAGGTGTTTTATTTTCCAATGGCAGATTGTTCGTTGTACGAGCGTATCACTCGGCGTATACTTGGTTTTACTCATCCGCCTCGTGGAATAAAACCTAACGCGGGGCGCATAAAACCACATATACTCCTCGTGATACTGCTACATCTTATTATGATCCACCCTTATATTAAACAATGAGGGCACGGGTGGCCCAGCCGTCTAAGGCGCCGCGATTCGCTGTGCAGAATTGCGTCCCCTGGGCACGCCAGAAACCTACGATTGTGGTCTCGAATCCCGGTTAACCCCGAATAATGTTTCTAAGTTGTCAGCACCATACCCATGCTCGTTGGTTTCACCGGAGTGGGAAACGTCTGAGACCTGCATCACTTCATGTTTTTCTCCCACATCAAGCTGACACGCCGTGATATAACTGGAATTCTGTTAAAAGCGGCGTTAAACCCAACTCACTCATTCGCTCAATCAAATAATATACCATATCCCCCTGTCGTTCATCGTGTCTTGATACATTTTGAATTCAAAAACAGTTAATTTGCCTGGCCTTGACAGAATACATGATTTATTATTTGTTTGTCATGGTAAACACTCTGAAATAACAAATCCATGTTATAGGATTGTGATGAATATGATTGTTGACCCTCCTTCCAATATAAATCTCTTGAGCGAAAAGAATGTCTGTCTTGTGGCCGCGTTATTGGGAAAATTCTATCTATAATACGTGGCTGCATTATGTTACCAGAGTGACAAGTCTATGGAGGCCAACTCCTCTTGGAATTCCGTATTCTTTGTCGTTGTTTTTTTACTTGAGTACAAAAAAAGAAGTTGAAATTCGTACAGATGCTGGTTAATTCCTTACCCCAGTGTGCCATTCAATGAAACATAAATATATTCAGTTTACTAATTTATAATGTATTCACATTCTATGTAATACCCTTAGCCACAGGTTAATAAAGCTCTTGTTTGTTCCACAAAGTTAAAATGTATTATTTGTTGTTTGATTGCACATACAAATTACTGCATACATTTCTGTCTTCCATGCGGTTTGGAGTAGCCTCGTGGTTTAAGCATTCGCTCGTCACCATGAGGGCCTGTATTCGATTCCCCATTTCATGCTTTCCCCGCCGAGATATTGCCAGTCTATTGCTAAAAGCGTCATATAACCATACACAATCACTCGCTTCACTTCCACACCCATTGAGACGCGTGAAGATCCGGGGTAGAATACAAAACGTCTTCAGCAACCCATGCTTGCCCTAAAAGGCGACTATGCTTGTCGTGATAGGCAACTAACGTGATCGGGTGGTCAGGCTCGCTGACTTGGTTGAAGCATGTCATTGATCCCCATTGCGCGGATCGAAGACCATGATATCAATCAATGGATTGTCTGGTCCAGACTCGATTATTTACAGACCGCCGTCATAGAACTGGAATATTGCTGAGTGCGGCGTAAAACAACAAACCAACCAACCAAACCCATTGGGATTCAGGTTCAGAAAGACATCCCCAGTGTCTCGTGATTGTCGAAAAAGCCGACGAGTACAAGTGCAAACATGTAATATATTGCATACGTGTTGAATATACCTTAACTATAAATGGGACAACTTAAAATACAGTTTTTTAAGCAAGATATGTGTTATGATTATGGAAATGGTTCGCTTAGTATGTGTGTGTGCGTGCGTGTGCGTATGTGTGAGTGTACGTATGTGTGTGAGCTTCAAAACACAAAGTGCAGAGATGGTTAAACAGGACAAATGGTTTTTACATGGTGTAGGGTAGCCAAGTGGTTAGGAGGTTTGCTCGTCTTGCCAGAGATTCCCCATATTGGAACTATCTGTCAAGCTATTTTCCAGTGAAGTTTTCACCCAAGTCCGTTCTTCCGTCAGGTTATGACAATTCCTACATAAATCAAACCATAGAACAGAATGGAAATTGACGCTAAAATGGCAGCCATCGTCAAGATCTGTGTTCTCCTTTGATTGAACTTGAAACCATAAACAACACCAAGACTACGAATTATTTTCAGATAGACTGACCTAAGTTATCGCCATTTAACAGCGCTGTAAAAGGACCTTGTAACGACATGTAACCATTGTATTAGACATTAGATACTTGGCAAAGTATCATAATGTCTTTCTGCCACTTCATATGGAATTTAAAGGAACACCTTATGTATATCTACTAGATACCTTACTGCTCTCAAAATGTAAATTGTAAATTATTTAGCAGTGTATAACATGATTTCATTGTGTATAGTCAAGTTATTTCATTGATGTATTGTAAATAATGTATATGCCCATGTAAAATCTTCGGATTCATCTCTGGAGGAAAAATAAATAAATTCATTCATTCATTCATTCATTCATTCATTCATTCATTCATTCATTCATTCATTCTCCCTTTAACAGCGCGGTGAAAGGACCTTGTAACGACATGATAGCATGTTACACATTATTTAATAAACCAAACCTGATTTCCACAGAATATATCAAGTGAAGGTCGAAGCTAAATATCCTGGGAGATATCGCTACACTGAATTAGCATCACAATGTTTTGTATACCATATGTTAATGCATTATCCCTGTGCTCCTGGTGACATGTATGTTTACAGTTTAAAAAAATTCTAATTTCCCAAGCGCAGAGACAATGAAAACGAATTAGTAAGTGACAGATTTAACTCAAATTACAAAGTCAGATTCACAAATATGTGATGCTTCAACATTGCAAAATAATCATATCCAGTTAGTTAAAGGAAATGTCGTGTGGGTGTGCAGTTTATATTCATAACAATGATGATAGTAACAGGAACAAGGAAAATCTCGCTTATCTTGTTTGACTAAATATAAGTATTATCTGATAAAATACATCTAAATGTGACACGACCTGTGAACGTGTTATGCCTGTATAATTACATTGTATTTTTATAATGGTCGCTGACATGGTTTACGCGTGCCATCGTACCTCAAATGCGCTGATCGATGTTCATGATATCACTCACTGGATGGTCTGGATAGACAAACCGCCGTCATGTAGCTGGAATATTGCTGAGTGTGGCGTTAAGCAACAACAATGATATAGCTATGTTTCTATGTGTGGTAATAATGTTATTGCAGTAAGGTGGTTACACTGCAATCATAATTCATCAGTCTGTTTACATTCCATAGCGTAACTTGGTGCTTTGCCTATCAAGCGACGTGTACTTTTGAATCATTGTCGCAATTGCCCCAGTTCCTGTTATGTCGAACCCTGACAGCGTCGAACGTAGCTCACACGGGGAAACAGACAACGATGACGTTTTGTCGGCTCTTACAAGAAGCCAGGAAGACAAGTATGGGGTACTAAATGCGTATGTATATAGAAAATGTATTTATGTGATTTTTGATAGAAAATGCTCTGTTCTGTTCTGAGCCCCATTTTAACCAGTAATCGCCAGGGGGAGAAAAATATGATATACCGTCGATCACTGACAAAGTCTGTCATCATGTTTTGTGTATTATTTGTTTTGTTTTGTTAATGTGCATGCATGCATGCAACTTTAGAGAAAAGGAAAAGTGCTCAGAATTACCCATAAACTATTTTCAGCTAACGCCACAACTCGTCATTTAAAATGTATAACGCATCGATATTATGTCCTGTTTGTTCTGTGTATTTGAATATTTACTTTTAACATTACAATACATTGTGCATACAACGTATATCAGTATGCTGAATAAGGAAAATGTCGTTCTTGGTTTTCTGAATAGGTATCAATATCACTTGATAAGATAATATGACACAAACAGTGAACTTGTGAAGCAGGCGTTCCAACACAAAGTTCCCTTTAGTCAATGCCAATAACTAGCTGTTTACATGTCAAACTTGTGTCCTGAAAAGGCATCACCCTACCCATCTGTCTGTGGATGTCCCTATTTTGACTGTACTGTTATATGAATTCAGGCTGTCACCCACAGTAGTAGGGATGAACACAGGATTAATACGCAGTCCGGGTTCTTGATGATCATTACCCGGAGCACATGCCCATGGCTGACTACAACATTATCCTTAACCTGGTGCATATTTTCACCAAAAGAGGGACATCCGGCTGCGACCCTCCGTTTACTCTGTGACACATTTACATTTACGTCATCATATGTGTGTGTGTGTGTGTGTTTATGTTTGTGTATGTTTGTGTGTTTGTGTGTGTTTGTGCTATTGTTGTCCTGAACATATATTCTTTTCATTGCAGCAACCATCTGTGGTCCTCGCTCATATATCATGCGAGGATAATTTTTAATACCATGACATATAATCTATTATTATTATGTTTCGTATTGACATTATTTGTTAGGTAATTCGCGGAATTCGATCTTCGTCAGTTGTTAACAACATAACTCCCTAAATAAGCATAACTTCCTACCACAGTTGTATTCTTAGATCCACTTGGAACAGATGATGATCGTGTCACACCTTTCACCTCCACGGTAGAATAACCTGTAAATCTGGGTTGCCCTACGATAATGCACG